ATTGCAGAGTCATAGACACAGCACGTGGGACAAGTGACACTGTCCATGCAGCATCTTCTCTGTGCTTTGTGTTCCCACCTGAACTGTGAGCATCTGGGTTCAGAATGGTTTAGGACACAGGAGAGATGTGGCACTACCTTGCTCTGCCATAAGCTATTCTTTCCCACCTGTGAGGGTTAATCCAGTAACCCCTCAAATTAGACTCATACTGTCTTTACATGATTGTACTGAGGAAGCAGATGGCTTACCTTATGCCACCACCACACTCAGCTGTGTGACTGCTCCTGTCAGCTCTACAAGTGAGGCTAAGACCATGCTATCACAGGTCTTATAAGCCAAGCTTTACAAGCATGCTGTTACTTCCAAACATTTAATAACTTTTAAGGATTTTTGTTCTGCAACTCTTGTCTTGACATTTCATCTTGCACACACAGCAAATGCAGCACATCTGGAACTGATTGAGCCTTCTGGTGTGGCACAGATTTGCTCTGCTCCCGTCTCACAGCCATGTTGGAATGCTGAGAGCACGACAGCACAACAGACGTTAAGCTCAGTTCTTATTTTATGTCCACAGGCAGCACAGGCCCACTCCTGCAGGGGATAATCTCATCTTCAGCCTTGGTGTTCTGGGACAGCAATTTACAACAGTGGCAGAACATCTTCCCAGGTGTTAAACTGTTTACTTAACCTGTGCAGGAGGTTGGCATTTGGTTTTATATAAAATAATTGTGACACCAAGGCTGCTGCCTACAAGTGAAATGATCAGTGAATCTTCCATTTCCATAACCATATGGGACTGTTGTAGGTAAAATGATTTCTTATTGACACACAATAAATACTTATGTGTCAAGCTGTCCACAGTATGTCCATTAGCACAAACAACAGAGTGACAGAAAAGACAGTTAGAATTAGAGCAGAATCTTTTGTGATAATAAAGAGAATTTTCCATTACTTCAGCTGTCATCTGGACAGGACTATGTGATAAAAAGCTTCATTGGGAATTCAATATTTAATAAGTCTTCTTTCACAGCTGAGTGAGCAAAAAAAAAAAAAAAAATCCAAACCAAAACACCAAAGCTTTAAGCAGATAAATTAATGTCACATATGACTACAGTTTTGCTGCAGCATTTTTTCCAAAACTGGCTGATGTTAACAGTAAGTCCACTATGTAAGAGACTTTAGAAAAGATGAGAGATGTCTGGGTCCTTCCAAGGCTTTTGACTACATAATACATTGACATTCTTCTTGCAGCTACTGTCAAACTTACCTAGAAAGAATGAACAGATCAAATAATTAAAAGGAAATTAGACAGTCCAACACAGCAGAAAGAGGGGTTTTGTTTCCCTGTCAAGAACAGATAATATATTTCCTGAACAAAACCCCTTTTCCACTAGATTTCCTCCACCTGCTTGCTAGACTATTTGTCTGTGCAGCAGTCCATCAGTCATAAAAAAAAAAAAAGGTAGGCAGCATCCAGGATCTTAAATGCAGAGATCAAAATGGTGAAAGATCCATCCCTTGTACTGAACGTAAATCTAACCAAGCTGGACTGCTGAAAGAACACACTTTCATCAGCAGTATTTACTGCTACACTGTTGTCAGGATCATAATGGCCCTAACCAAGGATAAGAAAACGTTTGCTTTGCTAACCTATGGTTCCCAAAACATTTAGATGCAGGTCAGTCCCCAAGGATCCCATTTCACTGTCCTTCCTTAGACTTTCAGCTCATTTTTATGAATTCTCTAGCCTTTAATGGATGCAGCCATAATCCTGCAAAGGAGCTTTGTTTGAATTGGTTGTAGATAAACACACACTGAATCAGAACTATGCAGAAAGGCTTCTGGGGAATCTGAGAAGCCAAATCACAGTGTTTGAAAACTAAACATCATCTTTGAGAGTTACAATTACATTCCAGTATAATGTACAATATCCATGCATTCCAGCTATTTGAGGCAGGGATGTATGCTGGAGCAGGCCTAGAGTTAATTTATGGGGCCAATCATCATTTGGAATCTCTGCTGCAGAAAACATTGTTCCTGGATCTAAAATTCTCAGTAAACTCTCTTTGTACTCTGAAAGTACAGAGCTGAGACTCACTATGTGATATCATGACTTCCTAGGAACAACTAGCTGGAAAAACAAATGTCTCAAGTGTGTAAATGTTTTTGTTAGATTTTTGCAAGTAATTCACTGTGGAGTTGATGTTTTATCTCTAAAGGTGAGTGAGTCTTACCAGGAGATGCTATGTCTGCGTAAGTAGTGGCTGGGATCTGCAGTAGGTCAGGTGCACTCACATCCAGAAATGGCAAAAGAGGAGATTTTGAGTCTAAGGCACAAATTACCAATGCATTCTAAATAAAGGATCATTGTTTCTGCTTCCTTTTCTTCAGTGAACAACACAGCAAGGGGTAATGATACCTCTCCACATTTTGACTCTTTTTACTTCAATTAAGGAAGATATATTTGGACCTTTATCTCTCTCTGTCCTGGAAGAACACCTTATAGTAACTTCCCCAATAACACAGGGCATGTCTCTACCACTCTGCTGCTGGGATGAGGAGTGTGCCTCTGCAGAAACTCCCCACCAACTGCACTTCAGCTGACATCACAGAGAAGTCTTAGAGAACGTGATTTGGAAAAACGCAAACATGAAAATGCATTTCAGGAGTGCACCTATTGTGTTGCAAACAAACATTAAATCCCCAGCACTAGAGTTTGTGTGAAACAAATAGCTATGTGAAACAAATTTGTTTTGTGAAACAAATAACTATGAAACATAAAGCATCAAGTCCTCTCCAACAATTTTTCTCTAAACAGCTATCCCAACTCAACTGCACTCCTTAGTAAACATTGCCACAGAACACTATACAGAATGGGTGTTTATAAGACATTCCCAAAGGAAAACAGGGAGGTAGAAGAGGAGAGAGTAGCCTGGAAACAACTCATTGCCTCAAGCTCAGCTAAACCACCTGAGTGGTTTAAGATGGTTAACTCTGCAGAAAATCATGCTCTAAGAAAACCAAAATAGGCGACAGATACCTGCAAACATCTACATTTGTTGTCTCCTCTCAAGGGATCCTAAAGACCATGGTTGTTAATGGAATTGGGATTATTTCACTGGGCAAATACATGTTATTTTGAGAATTCCTCCACAGGAGCAACTCAAATGAAAAGCTTAGTCAACAATCAGTAGGTTAATATACTCATTTTACACAAGTTTAACTTTTCTGAAGATGAAAAAACATGTGTATTTCCTTACTTGAAGGAAACAGGTCAGGCAAGTAAGACTTGTTTAACTGATAGAGGAAAGGGAAGAAAAAACCCCCAATGCATTACTGAATTAAAAAGAGGCAAATTAGTGAATTTGCTTGAAACACAGATAAATATGTAATGCCCCACCTCAAAGAAAAGGCTCTTTTGAAGTTTTTTCCTGGTTTACATACATGATTTTCTGAAAAAGAATCTAACAGTTTTGGAAAGATTGCTCAGAACAGTTTAAGTAACAAACCAAAATCACCTGTTCGTGTTGACCCCTCCCATGAATGCTCCTATTTTCCTTCCACTGCAGAGAAGGTGTGTTAAATGGCAACTCTATATATTAAGTGATTTGAGTATCAGAAGTGTAAAGAGACCTTGAAACTCTGAGTTGTCTTTTGAATACATGCTTCTATCTTTGCTAGTGAAAAAGAGGTACAGGTAGAAACTAGTATTAAAGATTTTCAGAGTCTTCATGAGGACAGTGTTAGCTTCTCTCAAGGTACATACCGTGGCACCTTTGCAGAAATCCTTAATTTTTCATCTCAGTGCTCTAATGCAGCTGTTAAACACTGACAAAAGTTTTGTAAAACTATGTAAAGTATGTACACTTATAACACGTTCTTTCCTTATCCATTACAGCTTATTTAAAACCAGGGACAATTTTTGAATATACTTATTCTTTCCAGAGGACATTACCTTAGGCTTGTCTACACTGAGTTTGGTTCCAATCAGTCTCCATCCACTCTGCTTCTCTAGTCTTGACTAATTTTAGAAAACCTGTCATCATCAAGTTCTTGCATGGCAGTTCTCTTCTTCAAATCCCTAACAAGTAAATACAGGTCTCAGCACAGATCTGGAGATGCTCAGGCCTCAGCTTTATGTTTTGGAAAATTAAATATTTCTTTCTGAATCAACTCACTGTAATTAACTAAATACTGCTTTTTAGAAAACCCTTAAACAACCAACCAACCAACTGCACTATGTAGAACCCCTAACTCAGTCATGTTAAGACTGCAATCCTTCATGACAAATGCCACAGGCACAGCATGGTTATGAGCTGCCAGAGTACAGGATTAACTCAATTTACAGTACAGCAATTTCATACACAGCACCATGAAGTGTAACAACACAGCTAAATATGCTGGCACAGGATCAGCAGGGCTTTCATTACCTTTTAACATGTACTACTAGCCCTCTTCAGAACATGTTGTCTCCTTTTGGCAATTCCCCTTTGCCACACATTCCCCAACAAGTGCCACAAGCCATGGGTCCAAGTCTGTGGATCTTGGGAGGCCCAAGTTCAGGGCAGGCTAACACTGCTCTCCCATCACTACACCTTCTCAAGGCTCAGTAGTGAAGAGTCCATGAAGATCTATTTAACTTTGTTCTGGCTCTGACCTATTTAACTCTGTTCTGGCTCTGACTTTAGCACAATTTTATAAAGAAGTAATTTTGTAAACTTTACAGAAAGTTCCCTGATTCTCAGTCCAAGATTTCTCTGATTCAGGATTACATCTGCTCTTCTACACCTTTTTTAAAGCAGTTCTAGACTTGATGCTGAACTGAAAATCCCGGAGCTGCCTGTTAAACAGAACAGCAGTGAAACAGGAGCAGCTGAAGCACATTTCATTTCTCACTGAAGTACCTTAGACCTGACCAGCAGGATGGCACAAATGGCAGAAGTGAAATTCACTTCACACAAATGACATAGATACAAAAATAATTCACACTGAATTTGAAGAAATTACAGGGAGAAGCAGTAAGTTCCCTCTTCATAACTCTGAGCATTTATTTTTAAGTCTCTGCTTTTATTCTGGTTATCCAAGAACATGTTCAGTCACCGTATCAAAGCTGAATAACCAACCCCCAGCAGGATAAACTGTCCATCTGTAACAACAGCACATACATAGCTAAGTATGTTCTTGAGGGGATTACAAATCCTTCTGCTAGATTCTGATCACCTTAGCTACACTTCAGCTTCTTGCAGTGGTCAATGGAAAAATCCAAGAACTCACACAGGCAACCTTATAATCTGCTTTTGCACAGTTTCTTTGTGAATTGTGATTGCTTCTGTCCTCCCACTTTGACTAGCCAGACAAGCTTAATGCTGGTCCCACTGGAAATACCTGGCTTTATGCACATGGTTTAATGAAACCACCTTCAACATTCTCCTTGGATCTTCCACGAAAAAATGCTCTTGTTTCAAACCAAAATTATTAATATTTAATAAATGATTTTGTTACAAATAACAAAATCTCTGTCCCATGATACAAAAGTCCTTGCAACTACTCAGCAGCTTCTATTGAAATCCCACCAGTCTCCTTATTTCTTGATAGATAGGAGCAGCCAGTTCTTTGGCTTTCTCTGCTCCATCCTCTAAAACCTTTACCAGATGAGACTTGTCTTCCTGGAGCTTCTTGATTTCATTCCTGATAGGTGCAAATTTTTGGATAACCGACTCTGCCACCACCATTTTGTAGTGAGCAGTGTCGAGACCAGTGGCCTGGTGCAGCACCTCTTTGATGCTAAGCCCCGTTACTGCAGCGTGGATGGACACCAGGTTGGAGACGCCGGGGCGGGCGGCGGGCTCGTAGGTCACCTCCGAGGTGAAGTCAGTCACAGCTTTGCGAAATTTCAGCACGATCTCATCTGGGCTGTCTGCTATGTTAACAGTAGCTAACCTCTGTGGGTCTGACTTGGACATCTTCGCTGATGGATCTCTCAGGGATTTTATTTTCTTTGTTGTACCTTTAAAAAAAAAACAAGTTATGAGCATAATGGTTTCCTATAACAATTGCTAAGAACAATGTGCAGCTATATGATGAAGCTGTTCACCCTTGCTCAAAAATGAACTGCGAGCACAATCACGTATGTTCTGTTTAGTCCTTGAATCCTTCCTGTCCTTCTAAGAAGCCACCTTTCTCCTCTCATAAAATGAATGAAGCCTGTTCCCTCTCTCCAATCCTCACTAAGCAGGAACTTCTGCTGGGGCTACTCTTAATATTTTATGTGGCTTACATGCTGATTTCCCCCCAGATTTCTCCCCCCTTCTTACTGCACCTTACTGAATGGCTTTGAGTAGTGGAGAAAAAGGTTAACCTCCACTGGTAAAAAAAAAAAAAAAATCCCATAAGAGTTAATCTCCTTATTTCAGGGAACTCTTCCACTCAAAATCTCTTGGAAATTCTCCCAAATCTCAGTAAAAACAGTTATTAAAATTCTCTAACTCAACACTGACCAGCTCTGTTAGACGTAAAGCACTGTTCAGATAAGAAACGTGTGGGTATTGTACAAACTGCTAAGATACATGCATGTACATGAAATAGATTAGTAGCATTAGGAGAATATTGCAAACTACTTTAAACAGCATCAACCCACAATGCTTCAGTTTTTCACCAAGAAATATCATTAATGGACTACCTAAAATATCACTTATCTACAGAGTACTCATAGTTGTTTTTAGACACCTAATAGAGCCAACAAAATTACCTGCATACTGCTCATAGATGGCCTATGTACTCAGTGAAAGGATAAGGGTTCTTCCAGCATACAATTCAGATTGCCCCAGAAAGTGCTTTGTTCTGAAATCACCTTTTGGAAGAGTCTCTTCTGCAAATTTGAAAGAATCCAGGTAATTCAATTGTCTACAGCTAGTGAGTCTGAATAGGTCCCTAACTTTTTCATTCACCTAGGATATTTTGTTGGTTTGCATATACTTGTGAATTTAAGAAGGAATGCTTTTTGGGAGCAAAATGAAATATTTTTTTCCTTTTTTTTCCTTTTCAAACTGAGCTTTTTATTTAATGGTAAACAGTCTCACCTGCATCAGAGGCTACACTCATCTCCTCCTTGTAGTGCTTGCTACTCCATTAGAACCTGCAGAGTTTGCAATCCCTAATATTCTCAAAACTCCACTCCAGGTCTAACACCATTTTTGTCACTGAAGCTTGAAAACTGAGAAAGGTTTATTACTGCCTGTCTTTTCTAAGGTGAGAGCTCCTTGCCCTTTTGGGGGCGAAGGTCTCTGCTGTGCATTCCTCTACATTACTTACAACAAAGATGCAACGCTTCATCCTTGCCCAATTCTTCACGTTTCTTAGCAAACATGCCATTTGTGCCATCTGACTCCTCCTCACCCCCCGGCCTATGACCTTATAGCTCAAAAATGGCTGAGAAGATTTTCCTTGTAAGTCTTCCTGAGACTCAGATCAAAACCCTAAAGTCTTAAGCTCTGTGACAGACACATATTGAAATACTCAAGCATATATTAAACACCCTTAAAAAGAGCTGGAGCACTGTACATATACAGCAACAGGCTGTTCAGCATGCTTAAAGTAAACATCTCCCACTTGGACACTGAAGAATTTTGCTTGCTAGAGGTCTCTTGCCTTGTTGCTTACATCTCCTGAATGAGCAACATGGAACAGAGACCCTTCTCTTAAAAGGTCCAGTACCTGAAGAGCAAGGCTGACTGGCAGCAGTAGAGTGCATCTGGCCCCCTGGACTAGAATACCAGACATCACGTACATTCCTCAACCATGGATTTCTAAAGCCTCATATCTATCTTGGGAGTTCATTTTCACAGCCTCTAGGCTCTTGCTGCCAGTTTTTAATTTTCCACTCCCTTAATATCAGTTTGCCCCCTTTTCTTCGTCCCTGAAACTATTTCCCAATATTTAAATCCATCTTCAACTTCGAAGTGCAGTTAAGGAAAAAAAAAATAACCAACTCACTTAAAATGGCTTTGGGCACAGGAAAGAATTCCCCATATTTCTTGTTGAAATGTTGTGCTATATCTTGGGCTAGTTCCAGGTGCAGGACTTGATCTTCTCCAACAGGAACACGTGTTGACCTTTTAATAAAAGACAGATACAGGAAACTCAGCAAAGCTCTCTGGTTCTGCTGAAATGTTACTCAAGACTGTCACAGCTTCTGCCATGACAGAGGGCCAGAATGAGCCAAACACTCAGTCCCAGCTAGACATAGGTGCTGTGGGAACAAGATCCCAAACTGTACATATTCAAGGATGAGTCTGCTTTTTGTGCTGAACTGAAGCACATAAAACCAAGGGCAAAAATAGCCCTTTGTGAAGACAAATATGGCAAAGATACCTGTAAGAGCAACTCATTAAACTCAGCTCAAAGAAAGGTTTCTTTACTATCTCCTGCTGCCTCTTTAGAGATCAAAGAGCACAAGCTATAGTGTAAAAAAAAAGTAAGAAAGATCTGCAAGGCATAAAGTGCAAGCAGCTTGTCATGCTTGTCTCAGGAAAACATATCTGTTGTTGAGGAGTTAGTACTGAGGATATATCAAGGGAAGGAAAGAAGAGAGTGTTTCTTTTTCATCACAATTGTATAAATCATGTGGTCCAGTGCCTCTATTGTCACAAGTGTTATTAGAGGATTAGAACTGTTGGATTCAAAAGATAATTTGATCTTCTGTATTGAACTCAATGGCTTGAATACACTTCTGGAAGGAAACACAATCTGCATCAGAGGACATGAGGAGGTGAAGAATCTGTTACTTCCCCTGGTGATTCTTTCCCACAGTTAATCATAGTTGCTAAAAATGTATGATTCTTTTAGATGAGGCAGACTTGAAATCTTGCCAGCTTTTGATTACTCTCCCATCCCCCAGCAGATTTTTTTTCTAAGGCTTATGGGGTATTCAGCTATGAATACTGGACATGTTCCAAAATAAGGAAGATCACTATGCATCTTTTAAGTTCCCAGAAAATTTCAGATCAACATGGTACTCTTTCCTTCCGATTCTGAATTACTGGGCTGACATCCAGGAATCAATTTGTCCACCTTTATTCCCAACCAGTCAGTAAGGCAACCTAAAAACAGCTACAGTAGGAATCAATAGGAAATCACAGTGCCCTATAACTGAGAGAAAATCAGTTACCATAATCAATATACTTTAAGCAGGTCAAAAGAAATGTTTCCATATGCCAAAATGGTTCCATATTCACAAAGTTTGCCACTAAACAGAAAACATATTATCTCTATAAAAGTCTCTGCACGATACCTTGCCTTTTTCCTTGCTGTTTTTTAAAAAATATTTCTATTCTGGTGCTATTTTTACTCCTTTCTGTCATGTATTTACCTTCTGTCCATTTTCCTGTCTCTTTGATCCTTGGTTCATCTGAGAAGTACTGTTTCTCCCCCTCCTCCAGCTCTAAATTCTACTTCATGACTCCTGTTCCCTTCCTGTGTTTCTGTTTCTCACCAATTCGTGTTCCTCATATCATTTTGTTTATATTAAAACATTTCTTATTAAAGACTTTAAGTCAAGTTTCTTCAAAGAGATACTGTTTCTCTTTCAAATTCCTTGTTTTGTGCTCTGGGTGGACAGCCTGCTGTTAATACAGACAGTAGCTAACAAACCACTGGCTTTGCTAAGGAAAGATGAAACACCTGATCTTATTAAAGATGGAAGAGACAGACATGGTTGAGCTCAACCAAAACAACATGATTTCTGATAAAGTTGTCTAAATTTCACCCTTAAATACTTGACACTCAAATCACTCAAATATTTGACAATCAGATGGGACTTCAAATAAAATCATTATAATAGTCAAAATAATTCTGACTTTTGCTTGCTTCCTGTTATTTTTAGTTAAAATGTAGGTAAATTAGAAATAGGGACTTCAAATAATGATCATATTCAAAATAATTCTGACTGTTGCTTGCTTCCTGTTATTTTAGTTAAAATGTAGGTAAATTAGAAATATCATCTCTTGGTCTTCTAACAGTCCCGTTTTCCCTACTATGATCAATTAAAACGAAATTTCTCTAGATACATTTTCCTGAATTCACAACTGGTTGATCTTGGTTAGTCTGACCTGACATCCTTGTCCTCTGTCCTATGTTACTTCTCTGTCCCAACCAATACTCACAATTTTCTTCAGAACAATGCTACAAAGTACATATGCTTGGAACATAAAAATAATTCATATATGGTGCACTGTCTTTAACATTTACTTACTGAGACAGTTTAAATCATGTTATGAAATACAACCAGTCATGACAATGCACTACAAATTCTATTAGCCAGGCTACAGGTTTAGGCATGCTGAATCCCAGTCTCTCACTAGGGGCTGTTTCCACTGCAGCACTAGCCCAAGTACTATGAGCTGCAATCAATAAATTACTCTTTTTCATCAGTATGAACTGGCCTACACAGAATCCCCCACTAATATTGGTGTGCTACATACAGTTCAAGTACCTCTACAGTACACTGCATAAAATAAAGCATAACTACATAAAAGAAATTGTATCAGTATGAGTGTGTAATATGTATAATTAAACATCAGTCTGTTATAATTCCCTAAGAATTATTCTCACATGACCAGCTTTTGCTCTTTACAGCCCTGTCAGTAGTTTTTTAACCAGGCTAGATTTCAACCAGCCACTTGAGAGTCTGTCATCCATTTCCAATCTTCTGATCTAATCACACCCATCTCCCCTGCTCAATAAGTTAGCATGTTGACCTGACAAGCATTCATTCCAATGCAGCTGAACAGACATTGCCCATGGGCTCACATTCTGCCTCTTACTTGTACAGCAAAATATCTGCTGCTTGAAGCACAGGGTAAGTCAACAAACCAACAGTTCCTTCGCTATTCTGGCTGGCACGCTTCATCTGTTTGGAAAAGAAAAAACAGAAAAGAATCACACTTTTGACTAATGGTATCAAGGTCTGTGATTTTAATTAATTAGAATTCTGAATAATTGAGTAATTTGTTATGTAGCTCTACAGAAGGCAGTGTCATGTAAAATCCAGTCCTTAAATATATTCTGGTTTATGTCTTATATTTATGAATTTCTCTACACTGTTCTGATATTCTAGTGAGAAGCGAACATAGGATTTCTTTTGTTTTCTATTTGTAACCTTATTAATGGAAATGATTTCAAGTGCAACACCACCAGGCTAAATTATTAAATTTGTATATTATACATAAATCCTACTTTTGAAATAGTGTCTTCAGCAATAAATTTTTGAAATACTTCTTAATGGAGATCCAAAAAGGTATTAATACCTATGTTAGGGATCACACACAGTCACCAGGACAGCCAGTGACAGCTGGGAGAACCCAGAACTACAGAGGCAGAGTCCAGTGCTGTCTCCAGCAGTTCTCACTGCTCCCCACAGTCCACTTAATGCATTCAAGTCCTCTACTGCTCCCTGATATGGATGACCTAGATCAAGGCAGTCAGGCTGCAAACCCTAATTCTGTTCTAGCGATGCCATAGCTATTTTTACTTTTGGCAATAGTTAAATATACTAACCCCCTTCAAACCTGAATTATTTCATTAGGACTGTTCAAATATATTTAGACTTGTCTCACACTCTCCAACAGATCCTAAATTCTGTCTACATCTTCAGTGCCTAGGGTTCAGGGAACCTAATTTGCAAAGCCTAGCACCTGTAACACCTATCTGTAGGTCTGGAAAGTCAATCCAGTCAAAGTAGGACTAAACAGCTTAACTTTAGAACCTCAGGTTTGAAAAGGTTTGCTTTAATCTATGCCATGCATTAACACTGGTTGCTGTATTTAAGTTTTACTGGTTTTATTTAATTAAGAAGGAAAACAGGAAAAAAGAAAACATCTGGAGGTATTTAAGACTGCTCTGAACTCTGGAAGCCCAAACTGCTCTTAAGCTGTTGGGGTTTTTTTCCCCCCCCTTTTTCAGATACTTCTCTCTCCTGTCTTTTTCTGCTTACTAAATGTCAAAATAAAATACAAGGAAATTAAATGCAAGAACTCTGTTGATGCAGTCAGGCTGATGCAACACCAAGATTAAGAAGATGAACATTTGACACTCGTAAAGGCAAATGTTTAAGATACAATATCACTCAGCACATTTTTAATATTTATCATTTCTATACTCCTCTTCAAACATATGCCTCTTTTGAACACTCTTCCATAAAATCTACAGAGCAGCCACTCTTTATAGTGGAAAATGAAAAGCTGTTTATGGACCTCCTTAATCAGCAAGGGCCAAAGTTTCCACTGCAATATCTTCCATTACTTTTGCATAATTAAACAAGCACTGAAATAACACTGAATGTTCTAGCAAAATCAGTTTAACAACAGCAAACAAACCTCTTTTTTAGCACAGTTTTTCTGCAAATCTCTACCAAAACCACAATTCTGTAGCTTCCAGCAGGAAAATGTTTACTAAGAGGACCAGACCTGGAGAGATATGTTTTACCCCTTCCACCACAGGACTACAGAATTACTTAAACCTAAAACAAGAACAACCGTGGTACAAGCTGGTACTTCATAGATGAAAAGTATTTCCAGGACAACATTTCTACTGAATTCCCATAAATTTCTTCTAAATTTACCAAACTGTCCGTACCTTCCACTGGGGCAAACGTAGCAGACGTGGCACATTAGTTAAGCACCCAAGAATCCAGGCAAGTTCTGCATGCTCAGGAACCTGAAAGGATGAAGTTAGAATCTGTTTAAATCTTCTTCTTTTATATGCGTATTTCCTCAAAGTCAGTAAGAACAAATTGCATCAAAGATGAGAAAACCAATTATTTCTATTACTTTTTCAGTAAGGTCAAGTGACAAGCTAATGGAAAGTTTTGGAAACTGCCAGGACTGAATGCTCTATATTAAAATAGTATAGCAAGGTTCTTGATCCTATCCACTAATATTCTAAATAAGAAAGAAAATGCTTTAGCAATAGCAGAGTTGAGCACACATGTAAACTCCTTTGCTTGAATACTTGATTCACTCTTCACAATATTGGCAGGTTTGAATCTTTAAGAGCATGCTAACTGTCTCAAAGATGTGCAAAGCTTCATGTCTGCAATATGATATAACAACCCAGACAGAAGACAGTAAAAAGTGTTTGTGAACAAGTAAGAACTACTAGGATTATTAATTGCTTTGTTGTCACATTTAAAATACAGTAATTTCCTAGCTAGCAGTCATTGGACTACTTTGGTAACCAATATGTAAAAGTATCCAACCTCCAGACTACAGCTCAGTGGTTAGAAATATTTCAGGTTGATTCTTTCCCTTCTTTCTGCCTTTCCCACAGATTCAGGGTTTTTATTAATTCTCTCATGCTTATTTGACCTCCACTCTTCTGTGCCCAAGACAAAGTGCAACAAAATACTGGAGTAAAAGGAACTTCACAGAAAATACTAAGCACAAGACTCCTATTTCATCTAGAAGGAATCACCATCTGGTTGAAAGTGGTTTCTCATTTCTTTCTTCTAGTCACGGACGGCGAGGAGATGGTGCTCTGTTGCACTTGTGTTGACAAGAAACCTCTTTAAAAGCTATGCAGTCATTGATTCAGCTCTGTCAGATGTTGCTTTCGCAGCCAAGACTGCACGTGCGTTTCACTGGATCAGTGGATTTGACATTACATCAGTTATCAAAACACCCAGTGATCTAAACAGCATTTGTTGGGTTGAATACACAGTTCTGGGTCCTACCAAGTTATATACATTTCCTATCTTCAAACACACAGTCCTTTCCTAAATATTACTGAAGTGCTGAATATGCTGAAGAAAAAACCTGATAAAATGGGGATAAATTATAGAAGTATAATATACATAGAAGTATACCAAAGAGTAGAGATTTCAGTTGGAATAAAATTCAGTACTGGAGCCTAATGAGTCAGCATTCATCATCCAAATTGCAGTAACTGACTGTATATTGGTGTGTGAATCAGGAGGTTCTAGGCTTAAACCACAAATCATTTGTCAGACTGAATCACGGTTTTAGCTACCGTGTTTTACTTGGCAAGAGGGGCAGGTAATTGCTGCCTTTGGTTGGTCATGGTGCATCTGCTCAAATGTTACTCATTTAGCTATTTTAGTATTCCATCACATTGATTGCACAAATCTGATACAGAGAAACTAGAAGACATGATGATGTCTTATAGAAAAATGGCTCAGTCTACTTTTCCTTTCACTGAGCGATACCCATGGATCACAATCAGGAGAAACCATTCTCCCAGACAAACTCCATCAACTTCTTGCTGCAGGTCCATTTAAAACTGCAGGCAAATGTCCTCATTAAACAACCAAAACACAGGAATGTAAGAAATAACACTGTACTGAATCACAACAAAGGAAATGCAGCCTTGTGCTCAATTTCCAGGAGTAGCACTTGGGGCAAACACAGGAGCCTACTGCTTCCTGCAGTATCTTCCCCTCATACTTCTCCAGCATCCATTATTGTTGCACTAGGGAATATGAGAAGGTATTATCCCTGGCCCAGTCCTGGTAATGTACCCAGATTCCTCAGGAGTAAGTCTAATCCTTTTCTGAACCAGCTGATATTGCCCATTTCATAACCCCATGGAGCAGCAAGCTCCAGAGGCTTAAACCCGATGTGTAAAGAAATAATTTAGCCACTAATGTATCCATGTTTGTTTACTGGTTTTGAATACCACCTGCACAATTTGGTGAACAATTCCACATCCAGCTTATTCAGTGTTTTTCTGACTTTGGAAACTTTGATTGCATATACCTCAGCCTTCTCCTCTACAAACTGAAGCAACCCTGACATCTGAATTTTTCCTTCTTAAGGCAGCTACTCTATCCTCTTGCTGCATGAAGGCCTCTTCTTTGTATCATATCTAAACCATTAGTTCAGTCTGGAGACTCTAAAACTTTCACTCAGTATTCAAAAAATGGGCACACTAAGGTTTTGCATGGTGACAAAATGTCATCTCTGTCTTATTCACAACACTTTTTCTGGTGATGTGGTGATGACGACATATCATTAGCTTTTTTGAAAATTGCTTGTGCTGAGTCAATGATTTCAGAGAACTACCAATGATGACTCCAGGACTTTCTTCCCTGCATTGTGTGAAGAAGGTTTAGAATACTTTTACCCAGATGTTTTAAAGTATTTAAATATCTTCTACCCCTTATCTGCCTGTCCACTCTGTTTTATGAGTTCTATTGAATTTCCTTTCCTTGGCATAGCATTTGGCTACATATAAGGACTTAGCACTGCCCGTGAACTTTTGTTCACTATCTTCTTCAGGTCATGAAGGAAGATGTTGACTAGAACTGCTCCCAGCAAGAACCCTGAGGAACATGAGACTGGCGACTCTGCCATTCAAAAAAACAAAAATAAAAACCCCAAAAAACAAAAACAAAACAAAAAACACCCCACCACCAATAAAATGTGAGCATTACAGCCTACGCAGCTTACAACAGTGAAATGAAAGGAAACAGAGAAGAGACATCTCATATTTGCATAAATCTACAAAACAATTTTCAGTTGATTCCTATTGTGTTAGGTAGTGTTGATTGTGCCATCACAAGGAAAACCTTGGTCAAAGAAGCATCACTTTTCACACAGTTTTCATTAAAAAGAGTAAGACTGTTAGAAAGGTGTTCTGCTTGCTTCTTAAATGCATTTTTTCAAAGGAGGTTACCCAATAATCTGACTAGAATTTCAAGTAATAAAAATATAAAGAGGTCCAATTAATTCAGGCTATTCTGTCTATACTTTAACCAATAAAGAACTCAATTTCTTTTGTATTTTAAAATCTGACAACAAATACTGTCCAGAGCTACAGTATGCTTCAGGATTACCCAATTTTATAAAAGAGAACAGATAACAATAAGCTTAACTCTTTTTCAATGAGGACATAATTTTCTCAGTGTGCCCTCTCCCCCAAATACATTCGTATAAAAATAATACAAATGGTAGAAACCCAGAATTACATCTCCAATTAAAAAACTCATAACCAGTGACAGTTCCTGAACTGTATGTCAAACCAAACTCCAAGAATGTCATAATTACTGGTAATTCTGAAAATCAACTATCTAATCAATTAAATCCTTCAGGTCAACTTCAGCTACTTTTGTGTCCTGAAAAAAAAAAGATAATAGTCTGTTTTCAGTATAAATATTATTTTCTTGGGAAATATTTCTTGCAGCCTTGCTGAAAATATTTCCAGGAATAACAGTTTTTAAGTGATCTATTTATTGTTTCCCTTTACAAAGTCAACTATTTCCCATTTAAAATTTTACAAAAATTCTTACCCATATCCATATGGCAATCCCCCCTTTTCAGACAGCCCAAATCCTACCCTTTGCTCTTCTCAGTAAATCTAGCAAGTTTCTCTCATTTTTCCTGCTCTGTGGTCTTGCTCATTTTATCATTTTTATTTCCTAATCTCACACAAGTCTGTAAAAACCATCAACATTTCTCAAAGGGTTGAGATGGTCACTTCCATGCTATTACCAAGGACACATTCCCTCCTTCAATCTCCGTTGCATTAAACATCCCCCAGAACCTGGCTGACTAATCAGTAATCAAAGAGTTATTTCCAGAGCAAACTACTTACATTCCTTCCCTGTGGCCTGACAAGGCCAAGGCTGCCTACCCAGATTCCTTTAATTTTTTTAAAGCACACATATTTGACAGAGGTGACCACTTCCAAATGATAATGAGCAGTTATCTAAAAGGCACAAACCCTTCTGTTTCTTTACCTGAGCACGCTGCTCCTCCCTTTTTAAAGACAAATAGCTTCTTAATTATTTACTTATGCAGCCATTTGAAGTTATTAAACTTAGGTCACAATTCATACTTGGATCTCTGGAGCTTTATATGCTGGAGTACAATCTCAGGGCTTCTTCCTGTAAATCTATTTTTTTGTCCTTGATCCTAGCTACTCCTTACCAAATTATTGTTGATAATCCCTTGCCACAGCCAATGATATATACATGGAAAAACAGAAGCTACTTTTAGTCCAAATAATTCTACATGACTTTTTATGATTAAACATACAGCTGAGGAAGACAGCAAGCCATGACACTCAAGAACATTGAGAGATACATGAATACTGGAAGCAGATTTGAAAGCAGGCAAATCAGCAACACTGGGCCTCAGCTTCCTGAGGGTATAATACAAAGTTGTGGTTGGCAGCTGAAGTGGCTTTCTGCAAAAAGAGAGGCAGTGTTTTATTTACAAGATGGACTTCCTCAAGTTGCAACCTACAGCCCTTCTATGTAAGGCACTGCCAATTTGCTGCATATCTATCATGTAGAAACAGCTTTCCTCAGCAGAGTAACCTCATTAAGGGCTACATTTTAAAGGGGCAATAAATTTAAAATATTTAATTTTTATAGAGTAGGGTACAAAGTCTCAGGAGGTAATTTGGATAGCTGTGTCCTAAAAGAAATTGAAACAGAGAACTACATTCAAAAAGAAATGAAACCTTTTCTTAGGACTTTTGTCTCTTCTAGAAGTACCAGTAAGAGCTTCTGTAAAATTCAAGATGCCCTTTTTAAAAGCAAATGATGCTTATATTTTTCTTAAATAAGAGGTAAGGTTTTATTAATGTGTGAAGTTGCAGGCAATACGTTCATGATACTTAGCAATGTGTCTCTATATTGCAGAGCTGAGGAAAAAAAAGACCATAAACAAGACAAAAAATAGACTACTCTTGAA